TTTTTGTGGGCCAGGGATAGATTAAGGAGTGATGTCCATTCCACTTTCCATGTCCCTCAGCTCCCACGTTTGTGTAGGTCAGCAAGGATGATTATCACCATCATGATCAAAGTCCATTGAGGGCAAGTCCACTTATACACTACAGTCTGTGTGACACTCGGGACACTTCCCTGTCGGAGTTCTGTGCTGGTGCATATCAACAGGCAACCTCACTCAAAACCTCTGCTTTCTGGTAATGATCTTTCTCTCCCTGTAGGTAAGGATAAACTTCACTGGAAAAATAGATGGGGAATGTTTTTTCTTAGTTGAGCCTATACACTAAAATAAATACCTTGAAGAAGTGATGTTGAGTTTAAAAGAAGTATGCTTTTAAACATATCAACGTAAGTTCATTATGACCCACCTCATCAAAAGCACAAAACAAAACACAATGAATGAGTGAAAAAACCCACATATTTTACATATCCAAATTCTACCAGGATCTTTCAAGTAAGTAATGAGTAGAGAGACACATAGGAAAATAATAGCTAACACTGATGAAATGTTCTGTTAACTCATTGTAGGGTTTCCATCCTTAAAGGAAAAAAAATGGACATAAAATCAACCAGGTAACTGGTCTAAGTGTGAAAACTCTTCAAGCACATAAGAAAAATAGAACATCTATTCATATTTTATGTAATATGAAGCAATCATTTAAAACCAAAGGCTTGATTTTCATGTTGCCTAGTTAATTGCCTATTTAAGACACACACACACACACACACAAACACCAATCAATGACAGCACTCAGGAGAATTTTTCTAAAAGTCCAGATGATTCTAGGTGTTTGTGGCAAAATTGACTTATTGGTATGGAATATAAACTCTCTTCACTTTGAACCAGGCTACTACAGGCATACTTCCACATAATACGGGTGGTATGACGCAGAAATCTGAAAACATTCAGAAGTCATCCAATAGTTGATTGTTCTCAAACTTCAATATGTATGCAAATTTGGGATATTTCTCTCTGGTGACATGGACACAAATCCCTCCATCTGAAATAGTCTGCGGTAATGGTGTGAAAACAACCTTCTTCTACCTGTTCAGCTTTGGACACCTTCCTACAAGACTTGCTGTAGATCACCCTTCCTGGCCGTCTGGAAGGACGGCTCCTCTTCTTCCTGTCCTCAGGGCTGGACCGTCACTGTCCCTCCCACTTGGCACTCACTGAGCATATCCTAAGTCAGGTTCTCTTTGGGAAGAGCGATTCTCAGTGCAACTTGAAAGTGCAAGGACCATGATTGATCTTGTTTTTCCAGTGAGAAAAGTACAGTTTTAAGAGTTTTCACTGGGAATCTGAATTCAGAGCCTGGGTTCTAACTACTAGGGAACACACTGTGTGAAGGACCAGGTCGTCTCACAACTCTCCTCAGTTGCTTCATTCCAACTAGAGCTCGGGAGTTCACTGGCCAAACTGCTGGACTCACGTGGAGTGAAACCCCTTCCCTTTCAGGTTTCATGGGCTGGATCTGAGTTTGCTTTGACTCTTCAGACTCGCAACTCCTTGTTTCGCTAGCCGGATTCCAGCTATATGAGCAAGGATTTCATAATAAATAGAAGTCATGAGACCCACAGAGAGCGAGAAGGGGCATCCCAGGTGAACTCTGGAGGACATTTCTCCTCAGTGATTCTGGTCCAGGTGACCCTGGGTACAGGAATGTCCCCTGGCCTGTGGGAACTTGCTGTGCCCTTCTCTTGAGCAGTTTCCATGCAGACACTTGGTAATGTTGGCCAATTTTCCAACTGAGAGCAGCAGCTCTCCTTCTTTCTTTCTGAATTAGTAAATCATCCCAGAAGACAAATGATTGAGAATGAAATTATTTAGGAATGACCTTGGGTCTATGAAATTTCTTTTAAAAAGTGACTGAGAGAAGTGGATGATTCACAAGCTTCCAGATTCCTTTTAGTAAATAAGCTGATTGCCACACACCTCCCAAGCATCGTGTGTTGGATGTAAGATGAGAACCCGTAGCCGAGTGAGCAAAAGTTTCCTAATCTGAGTGTTACACAAATTTAATATTTTATTCAAACAAATTCTTGTGTGCCCCACACTGTCATATCATAATGAATCAAAGGAGATGTGACTCTGTGTTTTCTCCCTGAAAATTATTGCTACTGTTCTGCTTGTCAAAATCAGAGTAAGAATAATGTTTTGAATTATATTTTACCAAGAACATATTTTCTATTCATATTATCTTACATCAGGCACTCCTCAGAATTTCAAGTAGACAAACTCTAATGTCATTTCAACTCTGGTTTTATTATTACTATTTTAGAAATTGATACACACAAAAAGTGATATTAAGCCAGGTGCGGTGGCGCATGCCTGTAATCTCAGCAGCTCAGGAGGCTGAGACAGGAGGATCGTGGGTCCAAAGCCAGCCTCAGCAATGGCGAGGCACTGAGCAACTCAGTGAGACCCTGTCTCTAAATAAAATACAAAATAGGGCTGGGGATGTGGCTCAGTGTTCGAGTGCCCCTGAGTTCAATTCCCGGTACCAGAAAAAAAAAGTGATATTAAGACTATGTCATTACATAATATCATGAAAATGATAACAAAACATGTACTATGCCTTACAGTTGTTTTTAAGAGGTAGAAATCCTGAGCTGGGGAGACTTTTGTCTGATCTGTGATGGTGGATGAAGGAACTACTCACCGCTCACTCGTGATGAAAACCCATGTTTCTGGCTTTGGTGGCAGGTCTTGCTGCCTCCACAGTAGTGGGGAAATTGGGTCTTGGTAAAACTGGCTGTTGACCTCCATGCATCATGATGGAGTTCCTGCAGGAACTTCCTAGAACATGATCCTTGCTTCAAACAGGAGTTCAAAGTCCTCTTTGTTTTCTCGGGAATTCGCTTTCCTAGGGTGGCCATTTATAAAGGCCTGGGGACTGAACCTTTGGGAGTATCCACCTAATTTGTCTCTCCGCAGCTGTTCTGGGACACTCAGTGTGCAAACACAATGTGAAGGCCGAGGTCTGAATAGAAACTGTAGAAGTGAACTGCAGTTAATCCTCTGTTGGATTCATTAAGGTCTTGCAATCATCTTTTCCCGGCATGCAAAGAGATCAGCTTCCTACCCCCTCTGGGACACTTGTGGGTGAATTTCAGCACCAGACTTGTTGTTCGAAATGTTGGGAACTAAAACCTGAAAGTCTTTTCCTCCTTCCCAGTGGGGAGCAAAGGGATATGCAAGGACAGGGGCTTACTTGGTTGGATTCTTCAATGCATAAGAGAATCTCCTCCTTTGTCCACGTAGCTTGGCCATGGCATGAGCCTGGGCTGTGCTCCATGCCTTGCCAGTTAGACACGGATCTGTACCACAGGACCAGCACCCTATCGGCCGTCTTAACTTTAAGCCACTGATGGTTAGGGCTGCTTCCTGGTGTAGCGTTTCCTTTCTTTCCTACCATCACCATTTATAACATCGCCTTTTATAACCTGATTCTTGGTCCTTGTTAGAGTCTGTAAACAAGTCAAAATAACACCTGGCATTTAGCCAGGGGAATGTTAGAGTTCGTAAACAAGTCTGGATGGTGCCTGGCAAAATGCCAGAGGGAGTGGTTTGAGAAGTAGCAAAAACAAGCCATTAAGTGTGGAGATTCCTGATTGGTTGACTGATGTATCTAGTTTATGCTAATTAGATAAGCTGTGTGGAATGTATAAATACTGCTCCTGTCCTGCAATAAACGGCTCCTACTCCTGCTGTATCAACGTACACAAGTTATTCGTCACCCCCCGGTTAGTTTGCCCAGCCAGCCGGGCTGCGGCAGGTCCTCTCATTGCTCGTGGTCTGGTGACGACACTGCTGCTGTGAAGGTCCAAGGGAAAAGGCACAGAGACGTGAGACAGCCGTAGGGGTGGCTGAGGAGAAGGTAGGAGTCTGGAGACCTCGCAGCACGTTATTACACCAAAGTTTGGACTAAACATTCAGCAGTGTTAAGTTTCTAAAGTTCAAAATCCCCTTAACAACATGGATTTTTAACTTATGTGAAGAAGTGCACATCTGATGCCGATGGAAATGCCAATCCAAATAACCCGTGGCCACTCTCACGAGGGATGGTTATCATCAAAAAGACAAATGACAACTGTTGATGAGGATGTGGAAAATTGCAGACCCTGTTCACTGCTGACAGTAATGTAAAGTTGGGCAGCAATCTGGAAGCAGTCCGGTATTCATTCAGATTAAGCAGCGTGACCATGTGATGTAGCAGTTCTATTCTCATGTACGTACCCAAGAGAAATGAAAACATGAAGTCCACCCAAAACTCGTGCAAAACTATTCTTGAGCATTATTACGAATAGACAAAGTGGGAATGACGCAATGTCTGTTACTGATGAACAGAGAAAAGGTGCTACACCCATCAGGGAATATCACCTGAGATAAGAAGAGTGGAGAACTGATCCACGCTACAGAACGGCCAAGCTCGAGGACATCTCAGGGAAAGGGGCTGGCAGAACAGGTCACATACTCTACATGTCCATCTTGCTGAATGCTCAGAATCAGCAAATCTAGAGTCATGGATGATAGTTGACTATAGTTGAGGTTCTCAGGAAAAATAAGTGACATGGGGCTGGGGCTGGGGCTCAGTGGTGGAGCGCTTGCCTAGCCTGTGTGAGGCTCTGGGTTTGATTCTCAGCACCACATAAAATAAATAAAATCTATTGACAACTGAAATAAACTTAAAAAAAAGAAAAAATAAATAAATGACTGCCAACAGATAGGGCCTTCTTTTGGGGGGCAATGGAAACTTCTAAAATATCAGTTTGTTGGAAAGAACCCAATGCACAAAAGGTGGCAAAGTGTGAGACGCTAATCACAGGTGTGTTTGCCTTGGTGGGCGGGGGCACCGCAGCTGTCAAGAGACACTATTTAGAGAGAATGCTGTTAAAATCACTGCTGAAGTGTTCACAGTGATGGTTTTCTGGAATGAAAACCATCATCCAGTTCTAACCTCACTATGCAATCTGTCTCCCAGCCAGCTTCCTCAGGCCACTCTGGACCTCCTTGTTTCTCAGGCTGTAAATGATGGGGTTCAACATGGGGGTCACCACACAGAAGAGCACAGAGACCAGGATGTCCGTGTCCAGGGAGTGGCCTTCTCTGGGCCTGTCATAGTTGAAGTTGGCTGTTCCATAGAAGAGCACCACCACAGTGAGGTGGGACGCACAGGTGGAGAAGGCCTTCCTCCTGCCCTGGGCAGAGGGAATCCTGAGGATGGCCGCGATGATGAGTGTGTAGGAGCCTGCAGTGAAGAGGCAGGGGCTCAGGCCAATGGTGGCACTGGCCACGTGGAGCACAGACTCGTTGACAGAGGTGTCTGAGCAGGAGAGCTTCAGGAGCAATGGGATGTCACAGAGAAAGTGGCTGATCTGGTGGGGCCCACACAGAGTGAGTGTGGTGGCCAGCACCGTGTGTGTGACCGAATTCACCAGCCCACACAGCCAGGACCCAGTCACCAGACCAACACAGACCTTCACCCTCATGAGGACGGGGTACTGAAGAGGACGGCAAATGGCCACAGAGCGGTCATAAGCCATGGCAGCCAAGAAGGTACTCTCAGTGTCAGAACTGGTCACCAGAAGGGATCTGGGAGAAACACCCTCTTAGGCTGAACCTGTTCTGAGAAGCTCACCATCATGACCTGCACTAGGCGTGTACGTAGCTGATGTTGAGAGACCCAAGTTTTGAGTTGATGATACACTGAAATATGGAGGGAAGGATTGACTTACAAGAACAGATCTTGTAATTGACGTCCTAGGAAGATGAATTCAATGACCACTGTCTGAATTTCCATTTCTTTGAATTCTTCCTCAACTGAAGTGAATATTGGGAAGTAAAATTTTAGAATAATGAAGTGTGGTGACAGAGTCCAGGAGAGCTCTTAACTCACCCTTTCTTTGTTGGATTAGGTAAGGTCTGTTTTAGATACTGTACCTTGGCCCTAAGACTAAGGTGTGTGCCTTTCCTCTCTCTCCTTTACCTCCCTGTCCCTGACTTTATTCTCATGCAACTCACTATTATTTGCCAGCTGTTTGTTTCCCTCATCAGTATGCAAATTCTATTAAGCAAAATGTTTGTCTATTTAATCCCTATAGAATCTATAAAACTTTTGTTGGAAGGAAAGAAATTCAGTCTTCACTGATGTTGCAAAAACAGTAGTTGATGAATTAATCTAGAGCCCAAATACTTTTCCTGCCAATGTTTCTCTTCCATGAAAAACACGGCAATGCCAGTTTCTACCTTCTGGAGTGTGAGTTATCTCCATGAGCTTCACCACCTGGTTTACTCAGGTGAAAATGTGATCTAATAGGGCAGAAGGGAATTTGCAGATGTGATTAAGTTCACATGACTCTAAAATACAGATTATCTTGTATTATTAGAGTGAGCCCCTGAGAGCAGAGATGATTCTCCGGCTGAAGATGAAATCAGAGATTGAATTCACAATCATAATCCAACAGGTCACTATTGGCTTGATGATGAAGGGGTCACATATTAAGGAAATGCAATCCTTGGTCCTATGATCACAAGAAATCAAATTTTGTCATCAGCTTGAATGAACTTGGGAGTAGAATCTTGCCCAGAGTCTCCAGGTAAGAAGCCAGCTCACCTGACACCTTGTCTTCAGCAGAGGGCCTCGTTGAGTCGCACTGTGCCTGGCCTTCAGATCCACACAACTGGGAGATAATGACAAATCGGCGTTCCAGTGACTGCGTTGTGGTACTGTGTCATGATACCAATAGCCAAGCATTCCGTTTGGTGTATGAAGGTTCCGCTTGTTTGGGGCTAGTAATGACAGACCACCAGTCTAAAAGCCTGAGGAGTGTCCCAGATCCTTTCAAATCCCTGACCACCCTTCTCTCTGCTATCTCTTTCTTCATTCTGCCTTGGTCAACTCTCCTCCTAAACAAGAGTTAAAGAGATTATAGAAGAAAAAGCCAAGCTCCTACTGTACAGTTTCCTAGTCAAGAGCTCCAGCAGAAGGCTAGAAGACAGATGAATCTGGAACTGTTGGGTAGGGTGGTATTTGGGGATTATTTTGAAGTTTTAATCACTCTCTTCCCATGCTGCTTTGCCATGAGCAGCCAATGAATCTGAGTCCGTGACATAGTGACAAAAAGTTCTAGGAATCGTGAGAGCCATCAACTTGCACCTGAAGTTACTTTCTTGGCAGATGGTTCTTCAGTGAGGCTTGGGTACCTCAGCTTCCTCATTTTCTGTAGAATTTGCTGAGCGACTCCTTTTCCTTAGTGTAAATCAGTGGTCAGCAACCAAATCCAGCACACTATTTTTTTAAAATAAAGTTTCATTGGAACATAGCCACTCTCATCCACTCACGTATTGTTTATGGTTGCTTTTATGTTATGATGGCAGCATTAAATAGTTGGGCTAAGTCCACAAAGCCCAAAATATTTATTTTCTGATCCTTTACCAAAAAGATTCTTCAACCCCTGGTGTAAACCTTTGGATTTGGGTTTTAACAGTGGGTTTAGATCATGGCTTTATCACTTTTTAACCTGGACCCCGAAAAACATCATTAGCTTCTGTGAACCTCAGGTTGCTCATGTTTAAGAAGGGATAATGTCTGGATTACAGTTTTTTGGAAGATTAAATTAATGAATGAATAACAAAGGAACGAACATAGTTGACCTAGAACACATGTCTATTATGCAACTGCCCCCATTTCAAGTTCCCCTTTAAAACGTTATTTCCCTTTTGTATTTCTCCAGCTTGACTCAAATCCTATTTTAATTCACCACCTCTATCAGCTCGACTTTTAAGCAACTGGCATATTATTAAATTACATAATTCCCTCTCATTAAATAAGTACTTATGATCCACCTTACAGTCGTATCTGCTCTTTTGTTTTACAATCACATTTTATAAACATATTTTCACAAGAATCCAGTGAAGAAGGAAAGTGGATTTCATCATTAACACTTTCAGATAATAAGATTTCCTCTGAAACTGGAAATTAAAATAGCCAAACAAATGAGGCTGCAAATGACACTGTGAAGTGGTTGATGAAATCAGACCCGGGGCCCCTGAGCATTCCCTTAATACTCCTTAACTCCCCACAGAACCTAAAACCCGAGTCATCCTGTACCTTCCTATCCCCGTTCTCTGCCCATACCTACCTGCTGATTCTCTCCCAGTTGTACCTCAAACTCACGTGTGATCTTCATCTCCATGAATACTATCTAAATGGTTGGATCTGCTCCTCTTAAAGTCTCAACTTGAAAATCACTTCTCAGAGGAGCCTTCTTCTCTTATAACATCATATTCTTTCAAATAATTTGTAACGATCTTTATTGGTATTTTTGTTTATTCATTGACTATCTGTATCTCCCTTGTGAATGAGCTCTGAGTGAGCAGGGATTCTGTCTGTCTTTATCACTTTGGTTTTATTGCCTGGCCCATATATATCGTTTTAGGAATGCATTAACGGCTGGATTCATTTTAAAAGATCAAATGTGATTATGTAATGCTTTGTCACTTTAAAATGAAAGTTTATTTATGGTATAAATAAATAAAAGTAAATAAAAACTTTTATTTACTGTATGTATTTACTTACCCATATAAAATTTTAAATCAGTCAAAAAGAAAGCATCATATTAAAAAAAGTAGTGATACAAGTTTCACATTCACATTGATGACTAAACTATTCAGTTAACCAACTGATTCAATCCAAAGAAAGGGCCTGTGTATTGATGCAGCCTAGAATTGCAGAATAATAATATAATAGTAACAACAGTAATAATGGTCAACAGTTTCTGCACTTATTACATGCCAAGTATAATTACTACTTCCTTTAATTCTTAAATCATCATTAAAAATCATCAGCAGCATTCCCCTTTAGATATGAGTAAACTGAAATTCTAGGAATCTGCCTATTCTCTTTCGTCGAGTTAATAAAACCACATATTGGCAAAGATTTGAAGATCCAGAATACACATCACTCTATCAACTAGTCAAAGGACCGTCCTGTCTCTGGACATCAGTTTCCTCCTCTGCAGAGCTAGACCAGGTGCGAGCCGTTCTTTGTACCTTTGATATTTTGTGATGATATGTGACATCTGCTTACTTTCCAGATTCTAAGATGCAACCTGTAACAGGGCAAGGATGAGCAGCCAGAGGTCTTCCGGGGACAGAAGAGCCGTTTCTTCATGGTCTTTGTGGAGTATACAGGTCCAGGTGCACTGGTGAGGAAGACCAAGTGGTGCCCCCGCCCAGGAGATCTGTTCCCTGACCCCCCATCGTGAGGGCCTTACATCACACTCAAATGGACTTTGAAGATGTATTTAAGATACAGAGAGATCATCCCAGATTATCCGGGTCAGCCAGAGCTGATCACGTGAGCCCTTCAAAGCAGACAGGTTTCTGCAGCTTGAGGGAGACGTGCAGCAAGGTGAGGCAGAAGCACCGAGCTGTCGTCTTTGAAGAGTCCCACAGGCCAGCGAATACAGGCAGGATCTAGAGGATAAGGCTGTGGCTGACGGTCAACAAGGCAACCGGGGCCTTTGTCCTAGGACCGCATGAGAATTGTCCCACCCACAACCTGAATGAGCCTCGAAGGAGTCTCCTCTACAGCCTTCAGGAAGACTCACGGCTCTGCTGACATCTTGATCTGAGTCTTTGGAGACTGTTAAGCACAAGAATTACACAACCCATGCTATGCCCAAATCTACCACCTACCGAGCTGCGGGATGATAAACTTGTGTTGCTGTCAGGCATCAAATCCGCTGGGTGTGGCGGCATAGACGCCTAATCCCAGACACTCTAGAGGCTGAGGCAGGAGGATCGTTAAGTTAGAGGCCAGCCTAAGCAACTTAGTGAGACCCTATTTGGAAATAAAAAAATATAAAGGGATGGAGATATAACTCAGTGGTAGAGTGCTTCTGGGTCCAATTCCCAGTACTGGGCGGGGGAAAGCCGCTACATTTGTGGTAGTTCATTATGGTTTTTCAGTTGGAGTACCAGGGACATATTTTGCCTTTATCAACCCCCTGTGTTCATAGACATGAATTTGAGTTCTAACTCTATCTCCTAACATTTGAGCTTCTGAACATGATATTTGGATTGAGAGTTAAATTCTCCTTTAATTTAAATATCAACAAAGTTCCTAATTCTTTTCTTCTTCCCTGTCATTGAAACCTACAATGACATTTTATTTGTGAATTTGAAAAACTGGTTTCTTGACTTATGTTCCAGTCATGTTGGAATAACTGCAAATAGATGCCCCCATTTTAATAACTAAAAACTTTAAAGATTTAGATTTAGCAAACGAATACTTTAAAATAGCTTTTGCAAGTAGGTTCAAAGAACTAAAGGAAACTAAATAGTTAAAAGAAAGCATGAAAACCATGTCTCATCAAGTAAAGAATATAAGAAAACAAATTGTGGAAGCACCAAGTAGAATTTTGGGAGTTCTGTTGAGAAATAAATAGCTGAGATAAAAATTTTACTACCTAAGTTAGAAAGCAATTTTAGTAAGTGGAAGAAAGAATCGGGAAACTTGAAGATGGGCCAACAGAGACGATGCAGCCGGAGGGACAGGAAGAATGAGGAGTGAGGGAAGTGAATAAAGCCTAAAGACTGTGGAGCACTCCAAACCCCAGGGAGAACGAGAATCCAGACACAGAAAAGGCACCCACAGGCACATGCAGCTACTTAACACCCCCCCCCCCCCCAAGCAAGAAGAAGGAATGGTCCACTTAAGAGCAAAAACCAGTGAGGTTGAGAAAATCTATTCTCAAAATCTGCTTCTTTGAAAAAATAAAAAAAAATGATAATTTTTATTTTAATTCTAAGACTAATAAAGAAAGAAGACAGACTACAGATACCAATTGTATAATAAGGAAATATGGCAAATAATTCCATATATGAATTTAATAGCTTAAATAAAAGCACAGTTTCACAACTTACCTGATATTAAAGAAATAATTTGAATAACCTGGTCAGAACTATTAAGGAAATTAAATGTTTAATTTAAAAAATTCAATATAAGAAACTTCCATGCTCAAATGGGTCCGCTGGAGAATTCTACTAAATTTTAATTTTACAAACCAACTTGTAAAATTAATGCTAATTTTACAAAATAGTTTTCTGAAAATACAAGAGGAAGAAACATTTCCAATTAATTTTATAATGTGAGTATTACCCCGATATCAATGTTAGAGAAATCCAAAGGAAAGAAAACTATAAACATTTGTAATAAATATAAGTGCAATAATTCTTAACGCCAACTTACTATTATATATTCAGCATTACATAAAATGAATTATGCAATACTACCAAGTAGGTTTTATTCCAGGGATGCAAAGCTGGTTCACTATTAAAAATTAAGCAATGTGATCCACCATATTTACAGGCCAAAGAAGAAAACTCACATGATCAATGCAGAAAAAGAATTTGGCAAAACCTAACATATATTCATGGTAAAGACTCTCAGGAAAAAAAATGGAAAAAGAGGGAGACTCCCTTAACTTCATAAAAAGAATCTACAGAAAACTTACATCTAGCATATTTAGTAGTAAAAGGTAGAAAAATTTTCTCAGGGCTGGGGTTATGGCTCAGCAGTAGAGTGCTCACCTCACACGTGCAAGGCCCTGGGTTTGATCCTCAGCACCACATAAAAAATAAATAAATGAATAGAATAAAGTAATTGTGTACAACTACAAAAAAAAAAAAAAAAAGAAAGAAAGAAAAATTTTCTCAATACCAGGAACACAATAAGGGTGTCTTCTCTCACTACTCTTATTCAATATAATGCTGAAAGGTCTGCCAATGGAATTAGGCAAGAAAAGGAAATACAAGATAAGTCAAGAATGAAGAAATAAGAGTTTCTTTTTACAATAATATTATAGTTGATGTCAAAAATCCTAAGAAGTCTAATAAATAAATAAATAACCCTAGAATTAATACACAAGATCAGCAGGTCTCAGATGAACATACCAAAAAAAGCCAACTGTATATTTGTATAATATTAATGAGCATGTGGATACCAAAATTCAAAATATGATACCTTTTACAATTGTTTTAAAAATTGCTTAGGTTTAAATCTAATGAAATATGTATAGTACTTCTATGCTGAAAACTACAAAATGCTCATGAAATAAATCAAAAAAGAGCTAAAAAAAAATAGAAGTACATGTTGCATTAATGGATGAGATAATTCAGCATAGTGAAAATATTAATTCTCCCCAAATTGACATGTATAGGTTTAGTGCATTTTCTATCAAAGTGTCATCATAAGTTTTTGTAGATATAGAAAATATTGTTCTAAAATTTAAATAGACAAGTAAAAGAATATCTGAAACAGTTTTTTTTAAATAACCTGGGATAAAATGAGAAAGGTTAAAGAAAAAATCTGTGTCCTATAAGAAGACTATTGTAGTGTTGGTATAAGGATAGACACATAGATCAACGGAACAGAAACATACTCACACTAATACAAGTAACTGGTCTACGACAAAATTCAAAGGTAGTTTAGTGAGAGAAGGACACTCTTTTGAATAGAAACTTTTAGCTACTCAAAGGGAAAAAGAAAAATTGAACCTTGACCTAAACCTTATACCTTATTAAAAAATTAACGAAATGCACCTTACATTCAAATTTCAAACACAAAATGATAAAAAGTTTAGAAAGCACTGGAGAACAGCTTTGGGATCTATGATCTGGTGAAGACTTTCCAGATAAAAACCTGATTTGTAAAAGAAAAAACCATCAAAGCAAAGATTTGTTAAAGGAGAGCCAAGCAGCTGGGGCTGGGGCTCAGTGGTAGAGCGCTCACCCGGCATGGGGAGGCGCTGGGTTCCGTCCTCAGCAGCGCATACAATAAATAAATAAAGTCAAGATAAAAAAACAGCAAAGCAAAGGTCCACATCTCCCAAAGGCAGGGTGCAGATTGCCCTTGACTCTCAGAGCAGAAAAGATGAGAGACACACCCAGGGCTGGGCTCAGCCGTGGAGCACTCACCTGGCAGTGGGAGGCCCTGGGTTGGATTCTCAGCACCACCCAAACAAACAAACAAACAAACAAACAAATAAAGGTATTGTGTCTCTCTATGACTAAAATAAATAAATAAATAAAAAGACGAGGTTGAGCTGTCTGACCACAGTGGTTCCCAAGCAAACCTTTATGAAAATCAAATCCACGCCAATCAATGGACGTTTGGGGTTCAGAATGTTTCCTTCTAATGAAGCAATCTAGCCTGAGTCAGTTGTGGGCACACTGTACAGTGCTTTGGATCTGATGGTCTTTAAGTCAACTGTGCTTTGTTGTAACTGGTCTGTACAAGCGCCCACGGGGGTTTGCTCATCCCACCGCAGACAAGCGTGGCTGGTCAGGGTCACAGGTCCAGGTCTCCCTCTGGTAGGTATCTTCCTCCCCCTCCCCGAGAGGCCCCGGTCTCATGTTTAAAAACTCAATGAAGGAGAAAGAAAGGCGTATCAGACCAGGCAGTCCTGCAGTCCTCCCCCCTGGGAAACACTGAGGCTGACGAGAAAGCCACTGGAGAGTAACTCAAAGGCACTTGTTTAAAAAAAACCTGTAAAATAATTAGACAGTGATTAAGTAGGTATACATGAAAGACTTTATAAACACATTTTGTTACCTTTTCTTCTGATTTAAAAGACTATTGTACAAATGTGTCAATTAGCTTATAATCGGAAGAGAAGGAAATTTAATGCACAAAGCTTCTGTCCACTATTGGAATTAGGTTCCTATTAGTATGAATTTGTTTAGTTTAAATTGAGATACAGATTGTGATACTCATAGCAAACACTAAGGAAGTAACTTAAAAATATAAAGTAAAAAGAATATATAACAAACTGTATTTTCTGCTCAATTCTGTGAACTTAAACCTACACTAAAATAATCTATTAAAAAAGCAAGTCACCAAAAGAAACAAAAAAACTTAAATGATACTTTTAAAAATATTTATTTAACCCAAAAGATGGTCATAAGGGAAGAACAAAAGTAAATAAAATATAGAAAACAAAACTCAAAAGAACAGATATGATACCATTTCAATAGTTACATTAAATATGAGTGAATGACGTACGACAAACAAAAGACTGGGATTTAAAAGCAAGATCTAATTATGTACAAAATGTACATGAGAGACACACTTTAGATTCAATAGTGCAAATAGGTTAACAGCAAAAACATGGGGAAAATATACACCGTGCAAGCAGAAAAAGAGACCAAATGACTCATTAATATCAGGAAAAATAGACTTTAGGACAAAAGGCTTACTTTTTACTTTATGTATCTATTCTAATTAGGTCTGTATGAGAGCAGAATGCACTTTGACTCATTGTACACAGCTGCAGCACGACTTTTCATTTCTCTGGTGGTACGCCATGTAGCCTTCACCTTATGTGCAGTCACACATGTACCCGGGGTAATGATGTCCACCTCATTCCACCATCTCTCCTCTCCAATGCCTCCTTCCACCCCCCTCCCCTTTGCCCAGTTAAATTTCCTTCATTTTCCCCATGTCTCCCCACCCATTATGGATCACATCCACTTATCAGAGAGAACATCCGGCCTTTGGTTTGGGGGGATTGGCTTACTTTGCTTAGCATGATATTCTCCAACTCCATCCATTTACCTGCAAATGCCATAATTTTTATTCTCTTTTAATGCTGAGGAATATTCCATTGTGTATATATATACCACAGTTTAAAAAGAGCTTATTTGAAACAAAGAATGATATTCTATAATGATACAAAATAATTAATTCAGAAGGAATC